CCCCCACAACCACCCCACTCTTTCCGTAGCATTGGTCTAAGTCCTCAAGGCGGAGAGAAAGGAACCAGAGTGATTGTACGGCCGTCTATGGCGCTGCCATGTGGCCTCAGTCACATGGTTTCGTGACGTAGGGGAAAGAGAATCTTGGGGTCATGGGGCTTCCCCTGACCTAGATTCTATCTCTCCATCACCGGCAGAATTGCTGACTAATGCCTACAGTTCAAAATAGTCATTTTGACTGACCGAAGTCCATGGTGGGTATGAACTATGTGAATAGGCGGGTTCGAAGAACCCTCTGCCTAATTTGCTACTAAGGAATGCAGTTGTGTTCATTGTTATTTGAAACTTCTTTTAGAATATACTTTCGTTACTAATAAAATGAAACAAAATAATTGTATTTGGCGCACGAGGTTCGTTAATGTGATTTTTTTGGAGAAAGATGTGCGGTCTACCTTTTAATCCAGCTAGAAAAAAATGTATACAATTTTAGATTAGCTTCTGCATTAGTTTCTTTCGTTTTGGGTGGTCCAACTGCCGGTGTTGAAAATCAGCGTAGGTGGATTTTTCAATGAAAATATAAGCCCCCTAAAAATATTTGATGACAATTTTTTGAAAATTTGAACCCCAAATAAGGGCCCACCAGCCATGAAACTGCCCAGGGCGATTTTTCGGATGGGCGAATTTACGTCAGAATCCGATATAAATCGTAAAATTAACAAATATTATTATTTGTGATATTATATTTTTCAGAGACATTGGGATTAATACAGTGCATGTAGTATTATTTGAAAAATGTGAATATTACTTAATTATTTTATGCAATTAAATTGACCTTGTGCATTTTCGGTCAGAATTGTTCACACGTAAATTTTTGCTAGCGTTGTTTAAGTAAAATGATTACTGGTAGATATATTATTCTATTGTTTTAGGACTCTTATAATCAATATTGCCTCCCAATATTGAATCGTTAGTTTGTATCCATCCATTCATTTATTATTGAATTTAAATTCTGAATGGGCAAAGTTGTAATATGTTTTAAGGTGGATGATTTTTTGACCTCATCCTCTCTACCTCTTCCACACAAATATACTCTTACAGGTACATGTATTAATCATCAACAGACAGGTTGTCATTTGACTTCCCTCTATATACCTGGTAAGGAAATGTACATCAAGTTTTTCAGAGCCAGTTCCATAAATTTTAAAATATCTATAAATAGGCCACATTTCTCATACTTGTTTGATATTGCTAACTTTTCAGATGCCATTCTTTGCAAGAATATCTTTTAAAAAATGGACTTATGAAGGAAAGAAATATTGTCATTATCCATCTTCTAAGTTTCTTCTTATGTACGGTTTCAACCCGCATACGTGTCTTGAAATGTCCTCAAACCACTGTCGAAGATCAGCCATGAACTGCCAGGCACTCACAGTTGCCGATTTTATGGAGCTCTACTACACAAGTGAGAAAATAAAGGACTATAAACTCAACATCACTATTGACAATATCAAGATTTCAAAACATTATCTTCTTATGTTGCTGTGGTTAGAACATTTCTTCGGGGTAACCATCAGTTCTTCAGAGATTCTTTCTATTAGTTGTTTGGTAAGAGTGAAATACGAGGCTTTACTCCGTGTTTATAAAAGATGCAAGGGATGCAATGACTTCAAAGAACTATATAAACTTATTACTTATCTACAAAGTGATGTTTTTACAGCTACCACTGCATCAAAAGGAATACTGAATAGATGTAATTATGCTAAAGCCTTAGGGTCATTTTGCAAGAAAAGCATCTACTGTTGTGAGACTTGCCAACGTGAATCTTTGAAAGCCAAGCTTAACCAACCCGTATTAAAGACAAATGAAAACAGTGAACGACAAGGGTCGAATAACATTCATACTGACACTTCTCTTGATTCATCATCTGCAGTTAACCAATCACAGTCAGTTGTGTATTCGTATGTTGTGGAAGATGGCAAAGTGGTTTTGGCATCCAAAACTTTTGGCAAGCCTAGAATGAACTCTACAGCTATGCAAGTGAAGAAAGAGCCAGTGGATGCTGGGACAAAGTTGAAAGCTCATTACAGTGAAGCGTCAAATGTGTGTGAAGTTGCGAAAAAAATCTTGGCATCGCACATTCCTGAAAAAAGCTACACACGTACGC